AAGCAGTGATTCGAAGAGTAATGGGTTTCATCACTAATTCGGAATATGGGGAGCATCTGAAGAAAAACTTAGATGTATTGGTAAACAATGGAAAAATAGGTACTTTTCAATTTTCTGAGTTCAAGTCGAACAGTTCTTGTGACCAATTTTAAATCTTTTCAGGCCTGTCCAAGTTTGCACCAGATGATATACAGTCGATACCAAATAAATACCTGGAAGTAGTCAAAGGTTACAAATTCTACCACTTTTGCATTAATGTCCCTTATGCAGCCCGAGTTTTGAATTGGGAGGTTATCTTTGATCCGGAGGACTATTCGGAGCTCCCCGATTTCGAATTTAATGATAACACCTTCTTACCAGAGCCAGACATTGATTATATAGCAGAGAATGTTCCAAGCTGGGATGCTTGGGACTTGACCAACTCACAGTCATTGCTAAATATTTTAAATGAGTTTTTAGTTCTTTATAAAAAATCACAGGTAAGAAAATACGTTTATGGTTTTTTACCTTAAACTCGTAACTCGACGGGAAAACCAACTAGTCGATTTGCGATGATCTTATTCTTTTTGATCGAATCTAACTGCAAAATGTATCAGCTATAGCCAATAGGCAAATACCAAGTTTTTACTGTAACATTCAATAAACTAATTCTTGTTTTCACATTTATCCGACATACTTATTGAATTGCTATGAATTAATGATTACTTATTGCTGCGAAAAATTAGTTGTTGATCTCAATATTGCAGATTGATATCTTAGAAAAGCAGAACAAGTTTGTGAACTGGAAAGAACAATATGAGGAACTGTTAACTACGTTGAACTTAACTGCAGATGACATCGAAGTGCATATTGAAACGAAAAACGAACCTGACAACAGTGGGAATTCTGAGTTGATAATTCATGTGTTGAGTTTTCTCATAGTACTACCGATAAATTTGAGTCCATTGCCCCAATATGCTCAGGACGAAATGGGCGTAATATCGGAGAATCCTGGCGATGATTTCGTTCAATTAAGCTTTTTAGTTAAAGGACGACAGACTAAAATTTCCTTATCTATAAGTCCGAAAGCCGAATTGCTGATGGGAAAACTCAGATTGCCGGTGTTTCGCAACGAGACATTAGCCAAATATGCACTTACAGTTCAAGCACTAATTGAAAGTGAAATTAAATCAATTGCCCATCAGTACGAAGTCAGAAAGCAGTACCTTTTTACTATTAATAGCAGATTTTCTAACAGTATCGTAGAATGCGACACTACCAGGTTCAGCAAAATTAATTTCATATTTGAAGAACTAGAAGACTATGATTGTTTGGTTACAATCCAACTGAATGGGACATTTCCACATGAAGCGCCCAAAGTGAAGGTGCATTCATTGTATTGTCAAGTGGGATCAAGTTGTGTGCGAACGGTCTTGTGCCCATATGATCCAAAGACAACTGCAGAAGAAAATGTGGCGGTGCTTCGAGTTCGATTGCTTCGAGATGTTGAAATGTTTAAAAATCATACACACTAACCGCATCGATCTGTTTTCAATTATTTTAGAGACTGTGTTTCAGTTCCAGTAAATGTTAATTGTATATACTGACTGTGTTTCAATTCCAAATCAAAATTCATTCCTGGGTTTCAGTCATTTATTGTCTCTATTTATCAATCAAAATACGTTTCTGATAAATAGAGACAATAAATGACTGAAACCCAGGAATGAAGTAAATGTTAATATATTTTATTATTGCCCCTTATTCAATATTGTTCAAAAATTTGTATTCCATGGAAGTATTTCCAAAATTTGTAATTGATTTTTTATCCACTATATAAATGAGACACAACTAACTGTAAATAGATATGATTTACTAATGAATAAGGATCTGTTTTTTCAATGGTTAATTTGATTTAGATCAAAGAGGACTTTATTTAGAAAAAGAGGAATTTTGATAGGAGGGGAATCAAGTATCGCGCCCAAAGATGATGCTTTTTATTTTGGTTTTCTGATGTTAACTTTGACGCTCTGGATTTCGAAAATTGTCTACTTTAGAATTGGATAAATAGCGTTAAATCATCATGTTTTGATCCCAGGAATATGTGGTAGGCTTTGTACAGAGACCACGTTGAGAAACATCCATCTAATATTTGTCGTTTTACGACCTCAAAAACATGTTTACAAAAATACCTACAAGCCAGCCGAAATGAGTGCGCTGCATATTTTTCTGCTGACATTTATTCCGGCTAAACGTTTTTAGGAGCGGTCAAATCAAAAACAATTAACATTTTTTTCTCGAAAATAGATTGAACTGTGATGAGACGTTAGACTTTCTTCTAGTGTGAATAGCGAAATACGAGGGCGATTTGATAGATCTACTTAGATCGTATGTGAAGAAGATTTTTCTAAAGTCAACAGAATGAGTTTGAAGAACCGCTACTGAGGCGGAATTTTCCATATTTTTTTCATACTCATAAAACGACGCAATGAGCAAAGCCAAAAGCACTCTAGTTCTATTCATATTCATAATACCTTATCTTTTTTTATTAATTTTTTAAGTTAATTCCCACTCTGTTTCGGGGAGGGAATTAATTTGAAATTTGGTAAAAAAATTTCACCCCAAAAAAATTCGCAAAACCGCACTAAAAATTAAAGAAATTCCCAAGTGTTATGTGCTCCATTGTGTCCATTGAAAATTTTCTGAATGAACGAAAGGAAAATGTGCCTAAAATGAAAATCGAAAGAAAAGTAGTTGATGACGCAAGTTGCAAAACTAAAGAAAAATATTTCTGAAACGAAATGTAACTGTTTCAGAACATAACGCAATTTTTTTCGTTTCCACATCATAATGCCGTACCCATAGATAAAGACGAGGACGATACAGACGATGCCATACCACTCGTGCCGACGTTTCGACGAAAAAACGACAGATGTCCTTAAATTCCTATTTTTGCAATTTTTTAAGTTGGTTTTAGAGGTATTTCTGAAATAATTTGAAATTAAAAATAATACTTTCTTTGTACATAAGTTTTACCTACTTACAAAATAAATTAGGACAAAAGTATTTTTTAAAAATCCATTATAATTTGATAAACTCGACACATCCACTGTCCATAAGAAAATTTAAAACGTTTTGAGAAAATTAAAATTTTTTCAAAAAATCGACCCCCACCCTTCGGTCAAAAATCAAAATTTCACAAGCGTGTTTCTTGAGCTCAATCGATTCCTTTCGACCTAAGAAGGTCACAAATATGCATTTATAAAGTGTTTGGGTCAATAATAAGAAAGAAATCGTCGGTTAAAGATCGTGAACGCTCAAAAAACGCCGAAAATGTGCCGATAATGTCTATTATTTCGGATCTGAAACTTCTACCATGTTTTTCAATGAGTTCGATGCATTCCTCGCGTCCGTGAGATGAAAATGATGTAAAATTTGAGACATTTTCAGAAAATTTAAAATTTTTCAAAAAATCCACCCCCACCCTTGAAAAAATTTCGACGAAAAATCAAAATTTCACATCCGTCTTTTTTGAGCTCCATCGATTCCTTTCGACTTAAGGTCATAAATATGCATTTATAAGGTGTTTGGGTCAATAATAAGGAAGAAATCGTCGGTTAAAGATCGTGATCGCTCAAAAAACGCTTAAAACTGGCTGGAACCTCTGAAAAACTTCTCAAAACGAAATGCAAATGCGTGGAGCGAAGAAAATGAACCAATGAATGCTGAATAAAGCGAAAAATATCGTTTCTAGTATGTATGAAACGCAATCGATTCAAAACATAACGCAAACCCAACCGTGTGATAGAAAAAACCCAATAAATGACGAAAAATTCCGAACCAACAAAATTGAATTGTGGGCCTACGTGATAAAAACAGTTTCTTCATTGGACTAACATTTCTGACATGCATGCAGAGCAAAAAAATGATACTTAAGCAAGTTCCCTCGTACGATAATGGCATATTTTTGTACCACCTACCTGGACCAAAAAAAGCAAACTTACTACTCGTTTTCCGATAAATATCAACATCACGATGAGCTTTCGCCAGCGAACCACTCAACGGTTAAATAATGTTATCAAATCGTTTCTGGAACGGCACGGACTGGCCAATCCAGATCCAGGATGGGAGATACGAGAGTCCGAAGTCGGTGGTTTTGGGGTGTTTGCATCACGCGATTTTCATGCTGGAGAAGTGATTTTTCTGGATTATCCCGCGATTATTGGCCCCAGATGCGTACCGAATTGTAGCAGAGTTTGTGTCGTTTGTTTTGGGTAAGAACAGATTTTAACTCAGATATTAACTGATCGCCTACTGCAATAAACTGCATAAAAGTTCAGAGGAAACAGGGCCGGATCCACCTTTAAAGTCAGGGGGGGAGGGGTATGTAGAAAAAATACAGTCTTCTGTTGTTTATAAACTTAGAAAAATGATCGTCGTTTTGTGCAAGGGTAGCGCAAGATTATTGCAAAATTTCAGGTTTTCCGTCCCGTTTTGCATGGTTCTCGGAAGCAAAATGAGCAAGAACGCTCGTTTTTACATCATTCCAGAGATAACTAAATTGCCTAAGTTTCTCAAGAACCATTCGAGCCACAGAATTCGTTTTGGCATCGTTGGATAGAGAATTGAAAACTCGATTCAGTCGTAACAACGTGAGTGA